CAGTTCTGTGGTGAAATACTCTTTAATTTGCTTCCCCACTTCCTACAGGTCCAACAGAGGACTCCAAGGTGTCCATCCCAATTGTCTTTGCTGCCATTAACTGGTCACCATATGCTGTACCCGTCATTTCCCACACCAAGTGCAGCTGGCGGGTGGCTTTTGATTCCCTCCAAGCAAGAAGCTTTCCCCAAGGAAGCAGGAGGAAACAGTTCTTTGGAATACTTTAAAAAAATAAAAAGGTGATTTAAAAGCAGATGAAGGAAGTGACAGACATATCCCATCTTAACACGCTGCTCATTTCCTCACAGTAGATACAAAGCATTTGAGGTAGGAAGAAGCAGTTCAGAGGTGTGGGTGCAAACCCAGCCGCAGTCTGGGGCCAACAAGCAGCACAATGATCCTCATTTAATGAGAAACTTCCACAGGTGAGAACGTTATTGAAGCAAGAAATAAATCCACAGAAGCAAGGTGCCAGTAAGGTTAAAGATTTTGTTAGGGAATCAGATTACACAAATTAGCTAAAAAGTAACTGCATTCCAAAGATTCTCCTGCAAAGGGGAGAGGAGCATGCTCTAAGCAAGCATCAGTAAATCGTGGTGTGCCATTAGATAATCACCAGGCAGGAGGTGGCACAGCTGATCTTTGGCTCATGTACTTGTGGTGTCAGGTATAATGTAATTAATATTCTCTGCTTCTGCACACCAGCAGATGTCAGAGCTTTGACACAGCACCTCAGCGAGAGGCACGTTTGCAGCTCGAGCTCTGCTGCAGCTTTTCAGACCATTTCCTCACGTCATCACCATTCCTCACTCGGCCATCCCAGAGAGGGAACAGCTTTGTATTTTTCTACTCTACAGCATGAAACAATGATCCTTTTTTTTCCCCCCACCAGAGATGCTGAAAACATCCCAGCCAGTATACAAACGCTGCCCTCACAGACCTGAGCAGCAACGAAGCCTTAAGAACTGCTGGTCCTCAGCAAGCTAGAGGCTGATTTAATCTCTGTCAGCAGCAGCCACCTTTGCAGCACGGTGACTTCCCATTAAGGTAAGCAATATTTATTGCTTTTCTGGCACAGAAAAAAATTTAACATCCATCATATGTGCTCTCCCTGATCTGTTTCAATGACTCCTAATCTATAGAGCTCTCCTGTAACCCACACTCAGGTGCTCCGAGCACAGCTTTACAGATAAGAAGTCAACATTAAATATCTTACATAACAAAAAGTCTATTCCTACAGCCTCTTACATCACTCCTGCAACCACAAATAAATAGGTAAAGAAAAAGAAGTGCAGCAATCAGACCTGGGAGCACCGTTAAGGTTACTTCTCCCTAGAAAGGCAGCAAGCGAGGGGCACCAAGCCCTGTACCCTGGCTTTTTTGGGGGCCACCAGCCCCACAGCAGCCCCTCTATTGCCCAGGTGTCCCCGTTACCTTGTCCTGCAGCTCCTCGTCCAGCCGCCTGTAGTCGTTATTCCAGACCAGGACGTGCAGGGGGAAGGCGCTGCTGGCCCTGCCAGGGGAACTCATCATGCCACACACCTGCGGGAGCGGGGAGCAGGGCGCCTACCCTCGCTGCTCCCCCCTCTCTTTGTTCTGGAGACCCCAAATCACTCAAACCCTGACGCCTCGAGCTCCTCCTCTCTCCTGGCACCCACCTGACCCACATGGGAGGGGGAACACTGGGCCACAACCCTCGACGGACCCTTCACCCTGCGCCAAGGGGGGCCCCATGCAAAACAACACTCCTGGGGGGCCCTGCTCCTGGTGCCCCCCTCA